GCCTACTTTCACCGTTTACATTCTCCCTCTACCGAGTTTGTGAACGTCGTCTAATAATAGGGCCATTCATACGAAGAACAACAAAAACCAACGTCCAATTTAATCTCGACCGTGCATGCGAAGAACACCATTTTGTGGTCGTGTTATCCACAATTCAAGACATGCAATTGAATACCCTATAGTTAAACGTTTTCGACGAACCCTCCGCTACCTATCTCAAAGAACCAAGAGCTATCGACGATCGTCGGCTATTTAGTTCGAAATGGGAAATACACTTTCACTGCAAAGAAATAAAAAGTTGCTTACCTTCAACTGATATACGGACGGCCGGCTGCCACGTGGAGCTGCTGATCTTGTGTTGCCAAATTTTTGCCACCTTTCTACTTAGTCTACCACACCAGTTGACACGTGATTAAGTTCCAGTCCTTGGGGAGGCGTTCTCGGCGCAGTCAATCCTGGACTCTACCGTGAGCTGACCTCTTTTGACACGTAAAGTTCTTCATTGCGGCTAAATAAGGGTTTTAGGTTGTTTAATTTTCTCCAAAGTCCCTTCTTGATCTGAATAACTGAAAGCGATTTACTTTTGTCCGTGAATGTGATAGTGTTTCTGCAAGATGTTTTAAAATTCTCACGGATAGTGATTCACAGGTCCAAATTTCGAAGAATGGATTGCAGCTTAAACTGAAGCTAATTTAGAACTACGTTGTGAGTCAGTCAAGATTGCGCTTAAGCAATGATTTTTAAACTCCAGCTTGTTGCTTCTAAAGAGATCTAAAGATAATGCAAGTCTGGACTGGAGCGCGTCAAGTGTATATAACTCCTTCTTGCGACTGTTCTGTTATTGCCACTTTGTTATCAGGCAAGACCGAAGCTGGTGAGCAGGATTACAAAAACATCTTTTCCACGCTCCAAGTTCACAAGGCAGGTCTTCTGTTCCTTCTTCAGCGCTCCTATGTGCGGGAAACGCGTAAATATTCATTCAACACAGAAGTTATCGTGGATTCCTCTATTTCACGCGCGTGGACGCCGCACGCCATCTTTCTGAGTGACAGGAACGACCCGCTTTGCGAGTGTTACTGTTGTTGGTTTATTGATTAACTACGCCTGGTGATGATCACCCCATGGCGCTTGAAGAATTTGTGAAAGGATTTTAGAGGTATAGCGGATTAAAAGTCTTGTTGATTTGGACACAAAAAATCAACAAAGTCGACCTTTGACATGCAAATCCTATAGCATATCCTCCACCTGTTGAGATATACTGTATAGTAGTATATAGGCCGGTTTAGTGGGGACGTTGCTGTCTATATATATGTGGAAATGGTTTTTGGTCTGTGATCATAACAAAATCGAATGACTGCGTAGCAGGAGTCTGATTTGTTCAGTCACGATTATGATTACAGACCAAATTGGATGACACAAAGTTCTGAACACCAATCAATCATAACTATAGGTATAACAAAATTTATGTTCTTTTAAGCTTTTTTTCAAAACTAAAACACAAGAAATTTTAAGATTTCTTTTTTGCTAGCAGCAAAAAAAAGCCATTTAAGTGCACTTGCGATGGCACACACTGTCCAATTACTTAGTCATGATGCATGCTGTCCTCTTAGTGCTGAAATCAGGACAGTTGATAGCCAATTATTAGATTTGAGTTTGTTATTGTTATGATTACACCTGAAATAATTTAGCCAATGTACCCAAACTTCCACCCAGATTTTCCTTAGCTAGTATTTATACACCTAAAATGAATTACCGTAATGATTCGATTTAGCGCCCGGAGCGCTTATTTACTTTTGGTACCTCAAGGGAGGGCGCTAAATCGAGACAGGGCGCTTATTCGAGACAGGGCGCTTATTTGAGACAGGGCGCTTATTCGAGACAGAGCGCTTATTTGAGACAGGGCGCTTATTCGAGACAGGGCGCTTATTCGGGACAGGGCGCTTATTTAATTTTTTGAGAAACAACCTAATGTTCAAAACAAAACGTTAATAAATATTAAAATAACTAACAATAACAGAAACCGTAACAGTAACAAATTGTTGAAAGTTCAGTTACTTTTAAAAGAATTGTTCATTTTAGCAGTAACAAATAATTATACATGTACGGTACGGTGAATGTTCATGAGTTTATTAGAATAGGGGCGCTTATAAGAATAGGGGCACTTATTAGAATACGGGCACTTATTAGAATAGGGGCGCTCATTAACAAAAACACATTCGAAGGGGGGGGCACTTATTTGGAAGGGGGCGCTTATTGGAAGGAGGGCGCTAAATCGAATCACTACGGTATGTATACCATATAACCAAACTCATTTGTTTCTAGTGGCAGATATACCATATCCGATTTAAAAAATCCCTATAAACCTTATACAGAAAAACCCTGAATGTTGAGTTGCAGGGTATTTTTTACATCAAATCCATTATCTGCCATTGCACCTTATACTTTAAGATTCCTTTCAGGGAAGTACATCTGTGCACACCTTTTAACAGCATTGATTACCAGTGAATGTGAGGGTTGGCCATAAATTTAAAACAGCTTTTATGTGGTTTTGTTAAACCTTCGCTAAACACTGGTTTACTATCCAGCTGAGTGAGCAACTTGTAGATAATCTGACTGATATTTCTTGCTTCATTTTTGTTTCTCTTTTTGAAAAGATGTGATCAAGCTACAACTCATGCAGCAAATACAGATATAAATCTAGCAGAGGTAAATGGATGTATAATTGTTATTAATATTATTTTGGGTTTCCTAACTGCCTAAGCAAAGCTAACTGTAAATTCCCTCAAAATGAATAAGAAAATTCATTTGTGATCTGTTGGGACCAGCTAGCTCAACAAAGTAACACTGTAGTGGCAACATTTGACCAGTGTGACTGACACCAAATTGTTTCCTATTTACCGTGCGGCTACTTGTACCAGGTTACTGGGAAGAAGATTATCCAATCACGATGTTTTAAAAACATAAGATCCTCATCTTTTTTTCAAATGGACCAAAACCATTCAAGTATTCAACAATGCAACTGTTGGAAAATTTAAAACCATTTGAACTTTCCTGACCTCTCAGGTAACTGCCCTCTTTTGTCATTGGTCAATTTAGATTCCAAATTTTGTATAGCTCGAGGACGAAATTCAAATTTGAAGATGATTGCCGTTTTTTGTACAATGTCTTATTTTACCAAACATTCAACCAGATTAAATCAAAGGTGGTTTTTATTACAGTGGTTGCCAACATTCCCAACTGTTGTTGGATCCGCATTGGCTAAATAATTATTTTATGAGTAGTAGATCACTAGGAAAGTAAAACCCCAACAATACTTGTGCAAAACATTCCTCAATTCCAGCAATTAGAAAGTAACCGCATCCTGACCAAAAAAATATAATTATATCATTGAAAATGTTATATTTCTTTATTGAAGTGGAAAAACTTTGCAAAGCAAATATCTCCTGTGTAGCTTTTTCAAACTCAAATCCCAAATTCACAAACTAATAATATTTTGAATTGAAATAGACCAATCACAACAAAAAGGGCAGTCCCTGGAGAATTCATACAGTGGCCTGGAACAGAGTTAATTTTTTTTCTCTTGCACACTCACAACTTTCTTTTTCTTATTCACAACTTTTTTTTCTTGTGACTTTTTCCTAAGTTGTAAAGCCAATCGGTTGGAAAAGGAATATATATAGACAACAATCCTCAATCCCTGGTATACCAGAAGAGAGAAAAAAGCAAATTTCATTGAACATTAGCAAATAATCACCATGCTACTATTAAATTTACAGCAGAAATCTCTCAAAACAAAGTCTCATTTCTAAATATAATTTTGTACAAAGGGAATGGTTTAATTTCCTAAAAAAAATAAGTAACTTTAAATAAGATACATTTGACTTTGACAACAGACTATCTACTCTTGTGATGGCAGATGTATGCAGTGCTGGTGAAAGGTGTTTTTCCCTCAGTTGTTAACCATATTTCAGGCACAGCTTAAATCAATGACCAATATCATCAATGAGTAATCAGTTGGTAATCAGTATGAAGTCAGTGATTAATCAAACAGAAAGAAACTTTGTGGAGCAATGATTGTTCGTTGATGTAACTAATTATCAGCCATGGATTATATATTGTGTATTCTTTGATGAAGACAATACACCCCGGGGGGGGTACTTTAGGAGTTTCTGGGTGGGAATGTGCCGCTGGGACCCTGGAACCCTTAACCTATACCAGAGCTAGTTCAGCTAAATTTTGCTACCCTATACTAGAGTAAACTCCCCAAATCCCCCTAACCTAGAGTAGCTGTTTCCCTTGTATAGATAAAATCTTCAACCAACTGATCAGTTTCCTGAAAAATGATACCCTATTCTAGACCCAAACGCTCTGATTTATATACCCTATCCTAGAGTGAACTGCTTGAAAACCATACCCTTCACAGCGCCACATACCATTATAGCTCATATATGGCAGTACCCCCCCCCCCGGGCAATACACTGATATAAACTGTGATTTTTCTTTCCAAGATACAGCAGGGTGCAAAAAAAGTCAGTTTTACAGCCTGTTATTTGGGCAAGCTGTAGCTAGCATGTACAGCTAGCCGACAAGTCATTTCAACTAGCCCCAAAACCCTTTTTGATCAGCAGGATTGATTACAAATCCTTCTGTAATGTTGATTTTCCCAATAACAGGACTTGCCTGTCGGGCAAGTTAACAACAAAAATCACTAGCCCGATTGCAAAATCCACTAGCCCTGGGCTATCGGACACGGCTTTCTTTGCATGCTGCGAAGATATTGTTATTTGAACCAAGTATTTCAACATTTTCTCTTTGTCAAATAGCAAGAGCCTGTTCCAGGCATTGTGAATGAACTGGATGAAGAGCAACATGTCGAGGAGTCTTTTGGTGATCAGGCCAGTGCTGTATCAGCAGGGTATCACCCTGAGGAGGTGCCACTTTGTGCAGTTGTTAACCCCAGGCACCAGGCAGTTGCCCGACCGGAGGCCAGAGAAGCACCAGCCCATCAACAGCCAGTTGAATGTGAGATAGAGGTGGAGATTGAGCATGTTGGGGATAATTATCAGGAGGTCACTGATTGCAACTTGCAGTCAGGTCGTGAGCATTATCAGCAGGGAGCTGCCAACATACCTCAGTTGGCTGTTTATTCTCCAGAAAGTCTGGATACTACCGGTTCCGCTGTGCCAGAATGGACTTCATACAGCCCACCACTTTATAGAGTCAGGCAAGTACCACACAATATTGCAACCAGCTTCTATGCCTTAATTGTTGCTGCAAGTGACGTTCAGCACTTTTTGAGTATATAACCTGCCACCATAAAATTTATTGTGGAATTTTTTATAGACAAAATAGCAGTGGTTCTAAAATACAGCTAGGTCACTAATTTTCATAGGTCAGAGTACAGATCACCATACTGCAGACATTAAATAAACATGAGCATCAACAGCTGTATCTACGTACTACAAAATGTTCCTTAAGATCTAGGGAAAACGTATATGTGGCTAGTAATAATAATTATTACGTTTATCAATGGAACAGTTACTTCTACTTTTGACCAGCTGTGGAATGTCCTCATGAAGAATTATTCAATATAGTTCAATATAGACTGCTTGTGCAGTCTGCCTTTTCTCTTAAAATCCGACCAATTCTTATGCCAGCAAGCAAGATTACAAACAATGATACAATAATAAATTAAAGGATAAGGAGGAGACAAGATGGACTGCTGATTCTTTAGTGCAAATCCTTATATTTTTCTTCTCAGGCTTATGCCACTCTCACATGCATGGGTATGCGTGGGTTAACACGCGTAGAGTAATTTTGCAAAGAAAAATAAGAGACTGCTTGCAGACTAAATTCAGTATGATGGAGATTGTCTTGTTAAATTCGTGCCTTACAAAATTGGAATCAGTATGTGCTTTCACAAATGCCAATGTCTTGTCTAATCCTGCCCGCAACAACCTGAAAAGTGGGCAAATGCTCCAAATGACAGTTCTTTGACTATGAGGGAACTATTGCAAGGAAGGTGACAGCTCTAAAATGCCTGGCCACAGGCAGAGTGGTAAAACTTATGTACAACGTCAATAATTAACTTCAGTTTTTACTCACACCAACTTGAAACAACATCAGGACAGGAAACATAAAGTGGGGCCTTGCTTGTGATGTTTTATGTAATAATACTAAATTTGTTTGTTTTGTTTTGTTGTTTGTTTCTAGGTTATTAGGCCATCCAGGACAAACATTATACCCTGACAGGACCTCTTCTGGTCAAGAGTATATTGTTTGGGAAATAAGTGACTTCCCCATGCACCTTCAAGACACTGTGGATGGAAACATAGAGGCAATTGAGAGTCCAGTGATGAAGACGGGTAGATATGGGTACAGCTATCGCATCCTTATCTTTCCAAAAGGTACTAATGGTGAAGATGGAAATCACATGAGTGTGTTCGTTAGCATGATGCCAGCAGGAGAAGAAAATGTTAACTTGAGGTGGCCTTTCCGTGGGTTGTTCATTATCACCTTGATGGATCAATCTGGCAATGCCAACCCCCAAAACCACAGCTGCACCATTCAAACAATTGATAACCTCAGAGCTTTCCAAATGCCCTCTGATGCCAGGCAATATGCCTGGCTGTATGGTTATGCAAAGTTTGCACGAACGGATGAGGTTTGTTCTCCTTGGTATTGTAGAGATGGTAGAGTAACATTTAAAGTTAAGGTCATTCCACGTACATGAGCAAGTTTTTTGATCAATGGCTCCTTGCTCTGTAGTTAGCTAATGTTTTTTTATTCCTTGACGAGAACAGTGTCAGTAATCCCAAGGAATTACTAGAAGTATGCATGTGCAGTAGGAGTGAGTATAAAATGCGAGCCAGGGAGTAATGCAAGACGTACGAGCCATGGCAGCTAGCCATGTAGTCCATTGAAAAGTCATTAAAAAAATGCAAAAATATCAACAACAGTAATACGGAAAACGTTAACTGGAAGCTAACTGTTGTAAAGAAGTGTTAAACCCTAAACAGCACTTAACCCTAGCCCTAAAATGAGTGCTTAACTCTATTCCTTAATTTGAAAGCTTAACCCTAATCAGTGTAATGAGTGCTCAACTCATAATCTGTAAATTTGCAGTTTTACTTGTTTTTACTTTATTTTTGCCAATGGCATGCGAGACTTGCATGTCTCGCTGGCTCGCAGTTTGTCAAGACCCATGCATGCAGTACTTTACAATCTTATTCTTATTTAATGTCTGGAAAGGTTACTAAGACAGATTCCATCAGGAAATTGAGTAATTTTAATTTTTAGTGGACAAAAACCTTGTCCCATTGAAATGCAGTCTTACCACATCAAATATTTTAGCTATTTTACCTGTGTTTTCACAATTCCTGTGAAATTTGAAATTTATTTTCTCAAACTTCCATAAGAAAATGTCTTTGGTATTATTTCAGATAACTAATTACATCTCTAACACTTGAAAAGTGTAAAAAAGAATGCAATATGGTTTAAATTATTCTGGTACAAGGTATTGTCCACTGAAAACTAAAATTACTAAATTTCCTGATGGATTTCTTCTTAATATTTTATTTATAAAGTGTTAGCTTATCCATTGTTGCAGTCCAAGAGATAATATTTTTGCAAACATAAATGGCAAAACTGAGTTATATGCGCTGCTTTAACATAAGGATTTAAGGATTAGATAGGTATAATTATTGCAAGAAGAAATGATGAGCAGGCCCGAGGTGCTAAAACGATTGTTAATTTTGGACCAGAGTTAAACCATGCAAACTTAAACCAAAGTTGCTTTGAATGTGTAACCAAGACTTGTGAAACATTGTTGAGCCATTTAACTCAGAAACACAGTCATGGTAACCCAAAACGGCAGTCCAAAAGAGTTTACGAGATGGTAAACCAAAGCCTGCAGGAGACGATTCGCGACAACGATTTTTAGCACAACACAGCATTGCAACATTGTTGCGACATTCTTTCAAATAGCTACAACATTTTCCCAACATTGCAATGCTGTGTTGTGCTGAAAATCATTGTTGCAAATCATGCCATGTAACGTCACCTTAACTCTGGGTTAGTGCAAGCACTCCCATACACATTAAGAGAGTAAAAGTAAGTAATGTAGCATTTTCAATTTTTTAAAGATGTAAATTAATACAGTGTATGTAGAATTCTTTATATTTTAAGCCCTATTAACAGATCTATGGCATAGTCATTGAAACATTTAAATATGATGCGTGAATGACTCATTGTAGAAAATAATAAATTTTACAAATTACAATGTAAGTAAACAAAAACATATCATAATTATTATTGTAAGCAACGAGGCTGCTCTTTGCCCCGAATTAGAATATAGTGTAATGCTGGAAATTAGTATGTGTAATCATATGGTGATGAGTGAAGGGATTTGATTATTTGATCATTTGATTATGGGTGACGAATTACATTCGCAGTTGTGAATTTTGACATGTTTATCCTGGATCATATTGATCAAGAACTCCACTCTCTCAAAAGTTTACAGCTTAAATTGGCTTAAGTTCATATTTTTCAGGATTTTTCGACAAATACCTGTTAGAATCCTTTTTGATGTGCTCTTTCATGTGTTTAGGTTTTCTAAAGTGTCTTTTAATGCCCTGACAACTTTTATTCATAACATTTTAAAACTTTATAGATGAACAGAAGGTTGCCATGGCAATTTTGTAATTTTACATGTGAAATTACAAATAAACACTGAAATTTTGTGTCAAAGTTAAGGAGTAATTTGTCACCTATGATATTGTAATAATAATTTTATAATATTTGAAATTAAAGTAAGATGCCGGTTAGTAAAATAGTAGAATGTTGAAAATCACTGGGAAAATCCTGAGACAGACAGGGTTGTCAAGAGTAGCCGGCTGCCGGCGGAAATCGCCACCTACTTGGTTAGTATTGGCCGACTACTCTTCTTAGCATTTCTTTACGGATGGTGTTTTTTAAATAAAATATCCCTGGACTGGCCTCTTACTTTGACAACTCAGCCATCTACTTTAAAACTTTCTGACAATCCTGGACAGAAGTTTAAACAAGCACGTTGAACAAGGGGTGGTCAAAGGAAATCTAGTCTTATCAAACACCTTACTTTCACGCCCTGCTCATGCATGAGCAACAAGCTCAAACCAGGAATGTTTTAACAACTTAATAAAGTGGAAAACATTATGAATTCTGCACACTATTTAAGTACTACATGTTATTAACCTTACAGCTGTATACACTTTGTTATTTTCTACATGTATGTCTTATAATAGACAACAACTTAAAGTTAGATTGAACCAGCGGGGGGGAGAAGAGACGAGGTCTGGGACCGAGAAACGATTTTCTCACAAGTTGCAAAGCCGTCACCCAGCTTGGTGGTCAGCGGATAATTACAGTATTTTTCCCACAGTAAATATTTTAGAAGCAAGAATTGAAGAAATGCTTAACCCATTTGCCCCTGAACCGCCCGTAACCGCCCGTGCGGATCCAGGTCCTTTCTACCCTTTGTGACGTCATCAGTTTTAACGGTCAAGGACAACTTTCTTCGCTAACTTGTGCAGAGTGAAGAGATCTTTCAAACCATACCAGAATGAGCACAATTCAGTCAAGGACACCGGAGAAAGAAGCAAAAAACCACGTGACAAGGACCTGAAAATCTCCATGAAAATCTTGTTCCATTACCCACCTACCTTTCCTTTCACCTAATCCTAAGATCCTAAAAGCTTTCCTAAAAACTCTTCCCACCAAAATGAAGCCTACTAAATGCCCAGCAAGAGAAAAAAAAATGAGGCAAGAAAAGCGAAAAAAGAAGGGAGGAGAGAAAGCGAAAAGTAAAACTCCAAATCTTGCTTTCTGCGCATGCCCGAACTTCGCAAGCTGATATTTTGCATCTGGATCAGAAGGCCGCCAAGTGTACGACCTGTAAACCGGTTTGTGGTAAGTTTTAGCTCTTTATAGCACGACGGTGACCAGAAAACCACTCGACTAACTTCAAAACGCGTTTTTCGGCAAAATCTCCGGGAGCGAATGGGTTAAAAAATTGAAAAAAATGATATCATGCAACTTTGTTATTTTTGCATATCGTATTTGTCTTTCGGTACTGAAATGCGGGGGAAACTAAAACGCAACCGTGCTAAGTCTTGCGTTACTTTATTTAGTTGACTTGTTCATAAATAAGCTTAAAACTAAATTTAATAATCTTTTTTTACAGAATGATTTTAAATACAAAAAGAATTCACAACTCTTTTTGAAGAAATTTCCCCGCAAGAGCTAAACAAATGCCTTCAAAAGTTTTATTTGTCGGCAAGAAAAAGCCTGCGTAGCAAGCGTTTCCAATCGTCGGAGTTACTGCGCGAAAGTTAGAGCGGGAGCAAAAAAAAAAAAAAGGTGGAAGAGGGAGGAGGAGGGGAGAAGAGGAAACGCTTGCCCGCAAACCCCTAGCCTTCCCCGCAGGCGTTTTTAGGGGAGATCGTATTTCTTCCCTCCCCACAGCATGGGAAAGTAGCCTGAGTATCAGGCCTTCCTAAGGGGCTAGGGGAGAGAGCTTCCATCTTTCTCCTTTTCCCCAGAAACGCCTGATACTCAGGCTAATGGGAAAGGAATGTTGTTTTCCTTTGAGCAGGCGTTTGTGGGGAGGGAAGAAATACGATCTCCCCTAAAAACGCCTGCGGGGGAGGCTAGCAAACCCCCGGGGGGGGGGCACTCCAATACCTTACCTATACGGGTATGTGTCGCCCAACGGGGTCGTGATGTTGAAGCTCCTGATTTAGAACGGGGTATCCATTTCAGAGGCGTTTACTAGAAAGGGGTATAAAAATTGTGGATCACGGCTTTATCTTCTGCTTAAAATTGTTGCTGATTACGAAGAAGCATTTATTTGATGTATAAGTCGAACAAATAAAGAAATATTTTTTAAAAAAACAGGGCTATTTCAATTTACAAAATTTCTAGAACGGAGTATAAAAAATTGGCCCATTTCTAGAACGGGGTATCAGTTTTAAGGCGAATTCTAGAACGGGGTATAAAAAATTGGCCCATTTCTAGGACGGGGTATCAATTTTAAGGGAATTTTTTTTAGAACGGGGTGCCAATTTGGAGTCCCGGGCGGCACATACCCACCCAAAAAATACCCAAGTGCCCCCCCCCGGGAGCAAACCCCACGATTCTGGAATTTCACGGTTCGGTTGATTTGTAAATTGACAGCTCGTCAAAATAGAAGTATAACTAACAGGTTACCCCTGGACTACCAGATTTGTAAAATTACTTTGTTCTCTCATAGAACACGCCAGGCGATTACAAAAACTGTAATAAAAAAGGTTTACGATAAAAGAAGGTTAAAACTCTGAGCGATTGCTGCGGAATTTCTTGTTTTTTATTGTGTGGCTTTATCTCGTCTGAAACCGTGTCGAAACGTCAAAAATGATTTGTCCGGAACAATTCACTCCGCCGGCTATAAGGTTTGCAGAGCGGCTGCTCTTCAGCCCGCGTCGAAACGTTCTCTTCAATACATGCCGCTAAATTTCCAATAAAAAAAAATAATCTTTTCATTTCAAAAAGCTGATAAATCGCTTGTCAAAGGCGGTTCTAGCTAGTGTCGAGTACCGATGTTCAAACAAAAAGTCCATTTATTTCAGTCAGATCGGCACGCCGTCATTCCCAATAAATTGGCCTTCCCTAGTCTCCACTGCTCTATCTCCAATTATACTTTGAAGATTTTGATCTTATAAACCTTCGCACAAACACGATTCAAATAAACATCAGTCCAACCACAAATCAGATGAAACCAGATCTGTGACGTACGTAAACAAAGCATACCTGGTTTGATTGATGTTTCGAGTGCTAAGTAATCAACACTACCAGCACCGCGCCAATCAGAAGCCGCGTTCGTGGGCGAGCGCAGTTTTTCAAAACCGTGGGGTTTGCGGGCAAGCGTTTCCTTCATTCCCCTCCCCCTCCCCGGTCATTCCTTTTTTTTTTTTGCTCTCGTCCCTGCAACTTTCTGGACGAACTCGCGAGGAAACGCTTGCTACGCAGGCTAGTCATTACGCGTCAAAATTGTAATCGTTTGCAACAGTATTTGAGTTAAAAATCATCATTTTTGTGCTCAATTATCTCACTGTTTTAGTTTTTACTAAAACAGTTATTCACCTCAGTGTCTGTGGCTTCTGTGGATATTTACCTTGCTGCTTCCACGACTAGCCACCTCCACTTCGGTTTGCCACACAGTTGTTTAGACTGTTTATGCTTGATTTGATATATTCTCACGCGAAACGCGACTTACGCGCACGCAAATTTTTGGCTCGGTTACACAGCCCATACCGTGCCTGGTAGTTTCTGCAGTTTCTACATGCCGGAAAGAATTATGTGGTTAAGGCAGGAATATAAACCCGAGAAACAGCGCTTTGAAAAGCCATTTGAACTGGAGATCGATGATGATCATGACGCTCGTAGATTTGATGGCAAAAATCAAGGGTTTTCAAAAAAATTGACCCTGAAACTCGAGCAAAGTTATGCAGCCTTAGGGACAACGGTTTGGGACGGAAGCATTGCTCTTGCTAAGATGTTCGACAGTCGAGAAATCTTTCCTGTAAATTACCTTCAGAAATGCAAGATCCTTGAATTGGGCGCTGGTTGTGGTCTGGTTGGAATTTATCTTTGTTTGTTAGGTGCTAAGATGTCGGTACTTACAGATCAACAATGTTGCATTGAAACTCTTGAATACAACGTGGCTATGAATATCTCTGATGTGTGCCGCAGTAAGATCAAGGTCTTGGAATATTCTTGGGGTAACAGCACATCGGAATTGACAATTGATGGCTTGTTTGATTTAGTGTTAGCTGCAGAAGTTCTTTACTCGCCAACAGACTCAAAGTTATTAGCTCAATGTATTCCAAGGTTAACCCACAAGAAGTCAAAGATTTTCATATCAATGGGAAGGAATCGTGGCGGAGAAGAAGTTTTTGTCAAGACAATGAGAGAACAAGGATATCTTTGTGAGGAAGTAAGAAATATAGAGAATAATGGTTGGTAGTTTGGAGCTAACCCCCAACCCCCCCCTCCTCCGTTCCGCTTCCCTGGCTCAACTGATGAAAATGAGGGGGAAAAGCAACAGTGCTGAATTTAATCCTTTTACTCCCACATGTGGCCAAAGCCATCTTTGAACAAAAAAGTCAGGATTTCATTTCGTAAGATGAAGAAGAACAGTGAAAGTGTGCAAAAATGATCTTTGAACAAAAAAGTCAGGATTTCATTTCGTAAGATGAAGAAGAACAGTGAAAGTGTGCAAAAATGGTGCTAAGGAATTTCACCAAAATTTAATCATTCACAGTTTAGTTCCAGAAAATCTCGATACTCCTCCCCCCAAAAGGAAATTGGAAATTCCTTGGGTAAAGGAGTGGGTCTCAAGAACTAAACAAGTAAATGAAATTTATAAACCTTAATTGGAATTTCCAGAGGGTGGGGGTCTCAGGAAAAATCCCTCAGAAGAGGTATGGATATTTTCTAGTACAACACAGAATATGGAATGAATCTCTTTTGTAATTTCATATACATCTTTATTATTATTTACCCATCTTAAAAATATGGTTTTTGCAGGTCCCTAGGAGTCAACTTCATCCAAAATACCAGGATGACATCATTAAGATTCTTAAACTTTGTCTTGAAAGTTGATAGATGGTGCTTTGAACAGAGAAATTCAATGTTAAAGTAAATCATAAACATGATAAACTAATATTATTATCTTAGAGGAAAGTGCCTCTTGGATTTGCTTAACGTAAATACAACAACCTATGGACTTAATTCATAGCTTTACGCTGCTGCTAATATTTGGAAAGTAAAGTTGTGTTGTAAATTATCAGCTGAAGCACATTTGACCACTGTAAATAAAGATAATTATTGATTGATTTTTACTGAATGATAAAACCAACTGTTTATGTCACCTTATAAGTAATGCTTCCCGTAATCCTCACATTTACCCCTTAAGTCCCAATAGTGACCACCAGCAATTTTCTCCTAACAATATCCATACATTGTCAAGAGATTAGGTTATGAGAATTAATAAAATGATCACCTAAGAGAAAATGCTTTGATCTTTTATCAAATTCTCTCAACTAATTCTTAAAGGAGATGTATGGAGATCAGTTTGGAGAATTTGTATGTGGATATTGGGGCTTAAAGGGTTAAGTATAATATTGTGGAAAAAATGGGACATCACAAAATATGGGTCTTACGTCCAAAACAGAAAATGCAAAACAAAAATAGATTATCGCTGCAGCATTAAGAGAATTTACTATCTGTGGGTGTTCAAGAGAAAAAAATGACACAAGAATTAACTAAGGTGATTTATTATTGATATGGTGATTTCATGGTGGTGATCTCTTTCATTCTATGTTCGTCAACCTTGTTTAACAGCTGAGGCAACTCAATGACGCAGCCACGATCTTCCCATTGATTGCAATAATCTAGAATGTATCGTATGTGCTCAGTACTTTCAGCATCTTCGTAGCATGTAGGAAAATGGCATGGACTATGTTTGTCTAGTTCATCAAAATTACAAGGCTCTGTCTGGAAAAAAATGAGGAAAAATACAGATTCAAACATTGAGCCCTTCTGATAGTGTTTGAAAAATATAAGGAAAATAAGCAGGATTTGCAGTACACATAACTGTGTATGTACACCTTCAGTCTATGTATCACAGCCAAAAACTGCTTTGTTTGAAGTAGATTAAATTTTGTTTGAATATGCCAAGTGTTGCGATAAGTTTCTCAGCGATCAAAAAGTTATGAATAAAGACTTGTGCTGAACTTGGAATAGGTTGGCCCTGACCACTTGCCAGATTTGTTCTTGGTAGTCCCAAGTTCAAATTCTATGCCAGACCTGTAGAGAGGTCCTCTTAAGGGGGTTAGATACTCCCTAGTCTGAATTTCACAACCTGCCATCTCAAGTATTGAGGAAGAAGACAAGTCTCTGTCGGTATTTCACCTTTGTATTTGTGCTGTTCTCTGTCGCTGTCGCAGTTTCAACCCATCTTTGTGTTTGTCACCATATCTGCCGTCCTAAGTCGCTGTTTCAAGGACATGTCGCTGTTGGTATTTTACTATTGTATTTGCGCTTTTCTCTGTAGCTGTCGCAGTTTCAAGTCATCTTTGTTTCGTTTGCCACCATATCTGCCGTCCTAAGTTGCTGTTTCAAGGACATGTCGCTGTTGGTATTTTACTATTGTATTTGTGCTTTTCTCTGTCGCTGTCACAGTTTCAACCCATCTTTGTGTTGTTTGTCAAAATATCTGCCGTCCTAAGTCTCTGTTTCAAGGACATGTCGCTGCTGGTATTTTACTATTGTATTTGCGCTTTTCTCTGTCACTGTCGCAGTTTCAACCCATCTTTGTGTCATTTGTCACCGTATCTGCCGTCCTAAGTCGCTGTTTCAAGGACATGTCACTGTTGGTATTTTACTACAGTGAAACCTGTATTAAGCGGACACCGTATTAAGCGGACACCCTCTATTAAGCGGACAGTAGCTGAAGTCCCCAAATCTATTTCCCTTATATTTTACTTAAAAAAAAAGTACCTGAAATGGTTATTTCTATTGTTGCCAACCTGTATTAAACGGACACTTGTAATTAAATTCCACCACCCAACATGCCAGACACTGGAAATGCGAAAGATTGCCTCGAATTGTCACCCACAAATTTTTCGATTTTTACATTAAAAAACGTGACTTGACGAACTAGTAAATTCACCTGCAACAGAACCTCTATTGAGTGGACAACCTTTAGCAGCCTCTTGTCCCTTTCCTGAGTGGCCGCTTGAAAAAAGTTTCCCTGTCCCAGGGTTCAACATAAAAGTTAAAGTAAAAAAAAAAATTAGAAGGCAGCAATAGGCCAAATCATAAGAGGGTTGTCCAATAAATGACTAGATTCCACTGGAAACATCAATGGATTCCACTGGACTCCTCATTTCTTATTTGTGGGTGACTATTATATCAACTATTATGTTGTGTAGCATTCTTGTCTCAGATCATGACTTAAAGTACGAGGTATATTAGGTGTGTAGGGTGCTTGTCTAGGGTCATGGCATAAAGAATGAGGTATTTCACAAGTAGGATTGTGGTAAGTCAGTTGGACTGACTGACTGTCGCTGTTGACAAAACTAGTGGAGTAGATTTTAGGCATGAGGATGGTACCCTACTTTACCCACATTTACTTGGTTTTATGCCATTTCTTTGGCGATTTTTGCCAGTCACCAGCTCCGTGGAAAATCCTAGTTTTTCCAGTTACTGGTATTTACAGTTTACTTGGTAAGAGGGATTTCACCATTTTATTTTTTGATACAAATTTTAGGGCATTTTTACATGGACGTGGGGGACCCCAGGTAGGTGAGGTAAAATGTGGCAGGTCACCCCACCTATCATGTAAACGTAATCAAATTAAAATGAGAGGTGATATAGACAGGTGGGTTACCCCACCTAAGCAGGTTACCTCACCTACCTGGGGTCTCCCACCTCCATGTAAACAGGCCGTTAGACACATCTGGCAATATGTTCTTAGACAAGGAAATTAATGCTTAAAGGGAAATCCTGTGGATTGGGCTATATTTCCAGGGGCGTAACTACCTGTACGCACGTGCGTAACTGAAAAAGTCAAGGGTAAAAAAATAAAATAAAATAAAAAAGAGAATAATTAAAAAAGAAAGTGTAAAAATTAAAACAACAACAACAGGAATATAAATTGTCTCAATTCTGTTTAACTCTTTTTGATTCTTTGGAGTATTTTTCCTTATGGACTGTTTTTTTTTTTCACTTCCGCAAGTCGGTTTTCAAAACAATAGACTCTTTTCTCCCACATCAGAATTAAAAGTCAGTTTTCATTTGAATCTTAAATGACATACTTAAAGATATGCTCAGATAGCAAGCGGGACGGTATAAAAGGTGAACATGTCATTTTCACCCAGGCCTATCTTCCCAGTAGACAAATGAGAGCTAATTACGTCTTTGTGGCTGCTTCTACTGGTCAAATTTGGAGTTGGGGGCAGGGGGGAGAGGCAGATTTGAAAAAATGTTCGTACGTCTGGAAAAATCCTGGCTACGCCCCTGATTTCCCACAGTGCTTTTGCCATTGTGTTTCTGCAGTTAACATTATTTTGTATTTGATCATTTCTTGCTTGATTTTCAATGATGCAAATCATTTATAAACATGAAGATTTGGGCTACTCCCAAGAATCAAACTGCCGTTTTGTAGTCAAGTACACTAACCATGATCATGTTGATTATCTATTGACAGCCAAAAAACTCTTCAGGTTGATGGGTTGAAGTTTTAGAACAACAAAGTTCTTCGACCCACCTTCCTCCCCACACGTTCCTCCTTAGCTATGAGGTACAGTGTAACTGGAATGTATATCTTTTGGGGATCAGCTGTACATATGTTTTGTGAGTAAAAACCATTCTCATGTTAAACCAGTATACAATCTTGTTTGTTCAAGAATGTCCTTTGTTACCTAGCCTTAATTATTAACACTGGGGGAAACAACAGGGAAACCTTTTTTTCACATTAACAGTAACCTGCTGCAGAAGTTACAGACTCACTGATGCATTTGGTCATTTAAATCTAATGGTCAAACTAGTTAAAAAGAGTATTTTTTCTTTTGCATTTACTTGAACATATATAGGTTCCCAAAGCCTCTAATATGCTTTTGCTCAATTAACAAAAGACTGGAGAATATTATAGAAAGTGTCCATGAGAAGGGTCTTTCTCATAACATCATAAAAATGACAATGAACCTCACCAGAAAATAACAGTTAAGTGATAATTATATTATTTTAGTTTTAGATCATTCTAAAATAACCAGTTGGGTACAAATATATTAATTTCTCCTCAACTGCTTGGCTTGACAGGCTTGATACCCTTGAAGGGCCCTAAAAAGCACTCTGGCAACTCCAATGGCTGTGAATTTAGAATTTTCAGTGTGTTAAGAGGTACCAATATCTACAAAAAAAGTTTACTCCCTAGATCAATAGAAGGTATGACAAAGACCTCTACCATTTTCATAGGGGACATTCGACCCTTTGCGACAGACCATTCATACTCTGTACCAGCTTTCCCAACTGCTGATGCTGACAGTACAATATGCAACAGTGTATGGTGACTACCAATTTTCAAAAGCTATAGGCACAAAAAACACGTGGTAGTTTGACTTTCCCTTTTTTGTCATCGTGACTTAGCATTCCCTTTTTCTTATGCTCATCAGATGTTGGTAACTGTACTTAGCTACAGGTAAAGGTGGATGGTGAATTTTATCTTCAATCCCTTCTTTAGAAAACCACGAAACAGTGTCAAGTTGTTATCAATTGGTTCCCCCGTAATTCATAGTGAAAGGCATACCAAAAGCAAAACTTTGATTCAAAATACTATCCAATAATGCAGGTAGCAATGTTTGAATAGAGGGGCAGAGGGGTAAAGGAGAAGGTGTGGCATTTCAATTTTTTAGCTGTTTTTTGGCCAAATTCCCACCCTTGGAACTTGAAAATTGATCACATTAGGTAAACTATCCCCCTCTGTGTCAAGAAAAACCGCAGTTTGGTTGCGGAAAAAAAAAATCCTCAGAGAGGGGATAGAAGAAGAGTCCAAATGCTACACCTATGGGCACCTATGACTGTCCCTCACCTCTCCATCTCAACGTTAATACCTGTAAATAACACACATGTGAGGCAGTATGAGATGTTCTGTCAGACTATTCAACTAAATTATTACATGGCCGATAAGTCAAAGGAAAATAACAAACTACTCTTATGCAGATCTCTAAAAAAACTTGATTCACTCAGAATGTACATGACACTTGTTCACTAACGGTAGCTGACGCTTACAGAACGAACCTCCACCAGGACACGACGTGACACTTCTTCGATGACAGTAACCGATCAAAACGCACAAAACGAGGAATTAATAGCCTGAGTATCAAGCGTTTCTGGGGAAAAGGGGAAAGATGGAAGCCAAAAAAGGAGAGAGCTGAAGGAGAGAAACTTCCTTTCTCTTCTCCCCCTCCCCACTCCCCCATCTCAAATCTCCTCTCCCCTAGCCACTTAGGAAGGCCTGATACTCAGGCTAAGGAATTAAAAGCGAGCGCAACTTATGACGTCCCAAAACATGAACCAATCAGGGAGCAGCTCTGAAAAGTACTCACCGGGGACGACCGGGGACAGGAAAGGCAGTCTAGGTTGACGCAGTTTCATTGGTGGAAAGCAGCCAAACTAGCCAATCAAAAAAGGGTATACAACGTAAATTTATGTTGCAGGCTGAGTTTTTTAGTAATCTTTGGATTTAGAACGTTTTTACTAAAATCTTTGCTTAAACTGTAAAAGGAAGACGAAAAATGGCGATGAACCAAAGCACTGGCAACCAGGATGAACCCTTACTTTCCGATGGGTATGTAATTCTTTGATTTTCCTCGAGATGAACGAACTCCCAGTACAAACAAATATTACTGCTAACATTAATTTAAAGGCTGCGGATCGAAGCATGTACACGTACCAACTCGGTTTTCGCTACCCAGCGAGCAGAGTCTCCTCCGACTTATCTAGGAAGATCGAAGGAGACTCTGCTCGCAGGGTAGACTTTTGCATGTAATGCATGCAATTCTTTGATTTTCCTCGAGGTGAACTCCCAGTACAAACATCGCTGCTAACATTAATTTAAAGGCTGCGAAGCGAAACATACCATGTACCAACTCAGTTTTTGCACGAGTTAACCTTACACTTTCCTTTCCTTCTTTTTAACTATGTTCGTTTTATTTCGTTCCATGGTCAGTTCGCTCCACTCATTAGTCAGATCGTTCCGCAGTTTTAGTTTGAAACTCGATATGAAGTGCGCTTGTTTGGCTTATGGCTTAAAGAACGAGTTATCCACACAAGTGACACTCTTGACTCGTGAAAAGTTCTTACCATATTGCGGAACGATCTGACCATGGAACGAAGTGACCGGATAGTGTTGCAAAGACCAGGACCCTCAAAACTTAACAACTTTTGTTGTCGGCTTTCGTTACTTTAGGGGGAACTTAAATACACAGGCAAAATGACAAAAGACGCGACAACACGCCGAATTTATACTAACGCAAACACAGAGTATAGAACGAGAAATAATCTCGGCTGCATTGTTTTTATTGCTGAATTCAACACATGCCTTCTGCTTACATTATACACGATCTCAAACCCTCACGCTTTATAACAAGCAATAAAACAACTGCTGACCAAAAATTTCATTACCTTTTTTCCTTGTTGAACCTCCATTTCATAATAATGATAATAATAATTTATTAAACAAATATACTGCAGGAATAAGTTTTTAATAGCTGCCAGTTATGCAAGGTGACAATGCATATTGGACTTGGTACCACAAGAGGTATTAAATCACATTAAAAGGAAACTCAAGATTTCATCAAGGACCAAAACTCTGAGAAATTTGATAGAAACCAAAAGTGAGCCTTTTAACTATTTGGTTTAGAAGTATTCTTTCGCACATTTTTAGCGTAATTTTTGGCGGTTGTTATAATGAATAATAATAATAAATTAAAAATTTCTATAGCACTCTTTCCAGATGTGATCGAAAGCGCTTTACAAAAATTTCATATAAAATTAAATACAATATTGAATGGAGAAAAAGTAAAAAAAAAAAAAAATTTAAAGTGATTAATTGAAAAGAAAGGTCTTGATTGATTTCTTAAAACTATTTAATAGGAAGCAACATTTCTAATATCAGCAGGCAGTTTGCTCCAAAGCACAGGGGCAGCAGCAGCAAAGAAGCGAGCACCAAGTGTAGGCAGCATTTTCTGTGTAGGAGGAGGCAGCAGAATACTGTTGTTTGAGCGGAGACCGTAGGTAGATTTGGGTTTGACAGATATAAGTTCACTGATGTAGGGAGGAGAGAGACTGTGAATAGCCTTGAAAGGTAGAAGCAGGATCTTGAATTGAATTCTCTTTACGTCAGGTAGCCAGTTAAGTTGTCGCAGTGCAGGAGTTATATGGCAGAATTTACTAAGGTCAAGAGCAATGCGAGCAGTAGGGTTCTGTATTCCCTGTAATTTTGAAATCCGCCACTGCGGGAGGCCATACATGACACTATTGTAATAGTCCAGCCAACCTATGACGAACACATCGATAAGAGTCACTAGACAGTCTTGTGACAGGTATTATCTAATCCTGCTTACTTTGTTGATATGAGTTTCCATAGACAACATTGAATCAAATCAAGCACCAAGATTTCTTATGCAATTCCCGGGTTCTATATCCATTGTTCCAACTCTTAAAGGGAGTGGTGCGAATTTGCTCAGTTGTTGACAAGTGCCAATTACCAGAAATTCCGTCATCTCATCATTCAGTAATAGACGATCGCTAACCATCTAGTGCCGCATGTCCTCTATACATTTTTCCATTCCTTGAATGGCATCAGTCTGAGATGACAATCCATCCGCTAGTCTAAAGCTTAGATATAACTGAGAATCGTCAGCGTAGCAGTGCGCGTCAGGAAGATGTCACTCAATGATGTTGAACAACTTTGATGCATAGATGACGTAGAGCAACGGGCCACGGCAGGAACCTTGGGGAACGCCACAATCAAGATCAAAAAGCCGAGATAACATTCCCTGAACTGCAATCCTTTGACTTCTATTAGACAAGTATGACTTAAATCATTGCAGGGGTACTCCGGAAATGCCAATGTCGTGCTGCAGCCTTTCAAGCAAAATCTTGTGATTAACAGTGTCAAAGGCTGTGCTGAAATCCAACAAAACTAGTAGAGTCAAATATAGCCAATCAGAATGCAGGATTTGCAATAGAATGCTAGTAGAAGTTAACTAACACTGGATAGTCCTGGATCTCTACCATGAAGCCCTCTCATGCTGACTGCTTCAACTGTGTTTTGGACTCTTTGGTAGCATAGGAGAAGAGTAGATTATGGCCAAACCTAAAATTTAAAAAAATCATGCCATTTTCAAATTAGCCATCACTCTAAAATGACATTTGAAGAAACTATTATTGAGTAGACCAACAATATTTAAGCAATTCCAAAAGTTTCACATTTTCCAAAAGGATTTAATCCGACCCATAACCTTCATATTACTGGTGCGATTCTCTACGCAGCTGAGGTTTGAGAGCACCTGACTAATGTTGGGAGCAAATCACTTTTGGGCTCACATGTTCCCATGGAGAGAATAACCGTGAGCAATGTTAATGAATCAAAACATAAGTGAACTGTGATGTGGAATTTAATGGAAAAGGATTAGTTATGACTCCAAATATAATATTGCAAAGAGAAGGTTCAAGTGGACCAGAAAATTACTACATTCAAGCATTTATGACTTACTGAATAGTTGTATCAAAGCCAAAAAGAAAGTGATTTGGTCAGTTTAAGATTACATATTTCACACACATGCACACATACATGGTAATCAGGGTTGGTACCCTTTTTTGAACAAAAAATTTAAGGACTTTCAAGGATGCATTTCCTATTTTTCAAGGACTGCATTCAGTGCAAAAAAGAGCCTCGAGTCGATGTCTTTTTTAGTTCTTCCACAACATGAGCAATCTCATCCCAAAGGTCTTTCTGTGTTTGCTCCTTTTCCTTTGCAGTTCCCTTTAAACTATAAAGTTGGCATTGAAATTTAAGGAGGGTTTGAATTTGTATTTTAAAATTCAAGGACTTTCAAGGTGAGTGCGAACCGTTGGTAATAAAAACTTGCTATCACAACCTAGTTTCCAACTCCACGCATCTCTTTTTTTTAAAAACAAAGATTCCTGTGATGTTCTTCTCTGATTTTGTCAAATCTGGACTACAAAATTTTATTGAGTTATTCTCTAGGTCAACATTCCTTTATAATAGTTACAATGTCTCATTAAAAATTTTCTTGTCCTATTTACAACTTCATCTTGATTCTGTTTGCACTTTCATTATTTTAGAAGTAAACTTATCACTACTTATATATCTATAAACAATATTTATTACTGAATAAGCTCAAAGTAGGTGTTCTTACTAGTAACACTTACCAGTAAAGCTGCGCAAACTGAAAGCTGCATTCATTCTTACCCTTTAGCTTGTTTTGGTAGAGATGGATGAGGCTGAATCAATGCTTGTATTTTTTTTTAAAGTTTTTCATCATTTTTTCTCTGTGTGTTACACATGGTAAAATTTTGGGTGACATAACTCAGGATTTCGGGTCACATAACTATAAATTTTGTACAATACAATTCTTGTTTTGGCCATAACTTTGAGAGATATGACTTGCATGCAACTTTACCACACTGATAAATAGAGCATACACATTTTGACAATCGCTTGATATGAAATGTTATCAAAACTTTTCCATTATTTAGAAAAAATGCCATTTTTGAGAGTAAAGCTAAGCAAACTCTAATAATCTTTGATTACTTCTGGTACTATATATCTCCCAATAACCTACATGTAGCTCTCAGGAAAAAAAAACAAAATTTGTGGAGTTGAAAGTTATAAAAAAGTGTATCCAACAGATAGATAACAAACTGACAAATTTACAAACATTTCATTACAGACTAAAAATTTCAATTTGTCCAATTTTGTTCAAAGAACTGAAGAGCAGTCCTTCAGCTCAGCACTTATAACACGAACGAGTCTACATGTACCATTGCTTTTTCGATATACCAACTTATTTATTTTAGTAGTGCAGTTTTGTGTGTTTTAACAATACACTAGCAGACTGCACTAGAAATTTGTCTTCCTCTTTAGAGCGACGGTTCCTTGAAAGTAACGAAAGCCTTCCTTATGACAGTTATGGTAACCAGTCAAGTCGCCCCGAAATGTGGAGTCATGTCGCCCGTATCTAATTAGGTGAAGTGCACAGAGAAACAAAGTTAATTTTTGTCAAATAAAGAGTGTGTGTTAACATATCTCGTTATTGAAACCATCATGAGACGAAAAAAGCGGTATAAATTAATGTCTAATATATCTTGTCGTTTAACCCTTGATTAAAAACGAAACAAGGGCAATATGAGTAATATATCTCATGCTATAATCTTCAATGAGACAAAACAAGCGTGGCAAACAGTAATTCTCGGTTTTCACTCTCACACCATCAAAAATAAAAATGCACTTGTCCAAAGATCACCAATGCAACTAGTTTTTACTTATTGGTGACCAACTTTCACGCCTGGTTCCCAACCTGGCCCCCAAGATATGTCACCTTCTTTGAGAAAACGTACACTAACGATGATCTGTTATCTGTTAGAAAACTAACACATAGCTAACGGCTTTTCTAACTTTCAAAAGGTTTGCCCAAATGGTTAGTCCATCTTGATTGCACACTTGATCGCAAATTTAATAGTCTGATAAAAATTTGCGGAAAGTTAATTGAGAACAAACATCGTCTATATCTCAGCACTTTAATATTTCTTGAACTTCTTGTAAACAACTTAAAGCCCATTGTATAAACCGTGGCATGACGACCCAAATTAACGCTCTGCTGTATTTTATTGACTTCTAATAAATTAGCATTGAAAACACCCCCAGAAGTCAGGCTGTTTGTAAAACAGACTTCTCGCCAAATCAACATCTTTGCCTGTAAATATTAGTAACGTTTCTTCCTTGTGGAGGAGACTTTCGATCACATGCTTAAGCAATGAATGAATTACGCTTCACAATTACTTACCAGAGACTCAAGACGCTGCCATAGTATGTGAGTTGTTCGACTGAAGCTATGAATTTAAGAATGGACATTGATAGTTAAATGGGGGAAAACCTCTGGAAAGAAAGTTGTTGGTTTTAAGATCTCACAAAATACTGGTAATTTTAAATTACAGGCTTGAACATTCTTTTTCTGTTGAGCCTAAGTAAAAGACATTTAGTTTATTGTATTCCATTAATTCTTTAATATAGTTTTTGGCGACTGGAATAGTAACTTGTTCTGGCGACCAAAAATAAAACCACGGGGGCCAGCTGGACCCAAGATTTGAATGGAGCACTGCTGTGACAATTCAAGTTACTTTTCAGTACTTTATTCTATGCAAGCTATTGACTCACGATAAATTTTACTTGTCCGGTTGGATGAGTACTTTATGAGTTTCAGTTGTCCGAGGCCAAAACCTACTCGTCTCAGACGAGTGGATGACTGGAAGTTTTTTGCCCTGTCTATATCTTGAAAATAATCAATGCATGCCAAGGCAACATTAAACATGGAAAAAACTGTACAGATTAGTGATTTTATTTCTTATGTGGTGTCATTACTATGGGTAAAATTATGTTACGACATTTTACTAAGAAATGTGTGGAGAGAAGGGCTTCAAAGCAGTTCATGAAACAGTGCGTAAGGTTAAATTTATAGGCAAAGGATTCTCAATTTGTTTTTAGTCGAGTGCTTATGTTCCGCTACTTTATAGTACTACTGCATATAAAGTACTGTATTCGTCCCGGATTTGTATGGTATCTACCTGCTGCACAACTGAACAGAGTTATAAATTTCCGGTTTGTGTTAATGTTAGTGTGCTTTTCAGCTTAGATATTCTGTCACAGGCTTGCGAGAAACACATAGAAACTCGATTTTCTCTTTAGCAATTTCGTTTTTGGAGTATTACACAGCCACGTCATGTTTCAGTGCCTAGAGTGCTATCTGACTAAGACAGAGCAACAGATCCAATTTCAGTAGCCTTCTTAAGTACCTTTAGTACCTTTTAATATTGGAATAAAGCTCAAAAAACATTTTTAAAACGCTCCCTGCGAATTTTATGAACAATTTTCATCATACAAAGCCTTTGAGTAGAATGCAAAGTTTGTCTGAGTCACGCGGTCTTAGGTGACAAAACCTATTTTAAGTAATAGTGCAAAGCCCTATACTGTACAAGCAAAATTCTTAAAACTGTAAAAGCTGGAACTTATCACTTCACGAATACCGAGAGGAACATAAAAACTATCTGCAGGGAGTATTTCAGCTCGTTCCGTTTTGATTCAGGTAAGATATGTTCAAGATGATGTCGCGGACCGAGGACCACATACTGTGTACAGACCATAATATAGCTTTTCAAGGTATCCCTTTTGCACTACTTTACATTTTTGAATAAAGGTTTAATAAGGGTTGTAGAATCCAACACGGCGGCTGTTAAGAAGGTCTCTGTTCCGGATACTTTGTCATAACTTGAGGATAAGTTAAATCGGAGAAACAACGCAAAAATGTTTCCGTGAACGCCATTTTGATCTTCACTCCTTAAAAATGAAATGTTCCTCAAAAGGAAGCCTATCGATAGTTTAAGGCTATTTACTGCCAAATGGAAGAATAAACTTTAAAAAATCCAAAATGAAAAAACAAACAACGCTTACCTCCAGAGAGTCATCACAAAGCGGAAAACCGTAGCAGACAGCTGAAAGTACGTACAGTCATGTATAGTAAGTGTCTAACGAATCTTACGAGGAGTGGCGGAGACATTGGCGGAGACCAATCACCAGGGCGGATCACCGATAGTCACGCGCTCGACACGCGCTCTGAGTGCATCGTCGTTCCCAGGCTCTTCTCGTTTTCCAATATGGTGGCGGTGTCACAGCGTTTTGGGCATCCCCGCGTTTTGGGCATCCCCATTCCCATATCCCTAGCGTTTTGGGCATCCCCGGTGGGGGATGCCCAAAACGCTGATCACTTCGACTTTGCCTAAATTATTTCAGACTGGGGAAAAGTCGGGATTGTTAATCACGAATTTACGGCTAAATAGTGTTGATGCATGTTAGAATTATATCGTCCGACACTTTTTGCCGGGTTAATTGCGCAGAAAAAAACCCATAGGCAGTAAACGTTGGCTCAAAACATGATGAAACTGAAATTTACAACCGCATAATCGATGCACAACACTTCATTGTTTGCAAAGCTTTCAATTTTATTTAATAGAACTGTTTACAAGCGAGCAATGCCGCAATCGCCGGCAGCTGCGATCGCCTGCTTCCAAACAAGAATACTAAACAAAGGAATCAAAAGGTAAACATGAATAAAACTGCGTTTTGCGGTGTTGCATTCATAGTATTCATGACATTTGAGGCCTGTACGACTTAACCCCGCAGCGCTACTTGATACAGGAAAGGCTGTCACACAATTACAGAGGCCTCAAATCATCAGAAATAACCGGAGGTGGGGTGACAATTCCCCCCCAAAAAAACCTGCAGTGCAAGGGAAAGGCATGTCTAGAAAAAAATCCTGTAGTTATGTAGTTATGATAAATGGACGCTCCAATGATGGTCACTAGAAGATATGTTGTGCTTGGCGCACGGGCGTGACAGCCGGCGTGACATAAATGGATGTTCAAGGCCACACTTAGGTCAACTGACAGAAAATCTGTCATCTCGACCCTTCAGAAATATAACTTCTGATCTTTGGCTTCACATAAAATAATAACAAACGGGATCTATAAGAAGGACTCCGGTTTACAATGCCCTTTGACAACCTACCAAAAGATGCAATTATGCCTCACCCTTTCAAAGAACACTGACAATAGAAGAAATTTAGCGTATGTTTTCGATTATCAACGCGGGTGTTTTAAAAACACGATCAATTGGCAAATAAATAACATTTGTAACTACACTGTAACCATTTCTATCGTGTCCTTGTAGTAGTCAGGCCAGTAAAACCGCTCTTTGATTTTCCTCAGAGTGTTATCGCGGCCGGCGTGTCCAGAAAAAGGAGCAGAGTGGCACTCTTCGAAGACCCTCGCTTTATCTTCCTCGGCGATAACAAGACGTCGAAGCGCTGTGCCATCCTTCTCCTTGGCCACGTAGAACAAGGACTCTAATTTTGAGTCATACTCAAACTTTTTGGCGAATTTTCTAAGAATTATTTTGTCCTGCTTTGTAAAGCCTTCCGGATAAACCTTATTTTTAAGATACCGGAACAGATTTGTATATTTAGCGGAATCCATCTCTAAAAGGTTTTCGATTTTCCCGCGAAATCCCAAATTGTTTTGGAGGGGATGCCCAAAACGCTAGGGATTTGGGCATCCCGGGAGGGTACCGGGGGATGCCCAAAACGCTGCAGTAATATAAGAAGGGGATACCCAAAACGCTAGGGATATGGGAATGGGGATGCCCAAAACGCGGGGATGCCCAAAACGCTGTGACAGCGGGTCGCGGCGGATAGCGCATAAGATCTTTGAAACGGAGTCGTGATGAGGCGTAGAGGTGACAACGAAAAAAGGAGGATTTGTATGAAGGGGAATTTACGATAATAACAATAGCGTTTTTAATTTTACTTTAAAAATCCATATTTCCCCACATGTCATACAAATCCTTACATTTTCGATGTTACGCAGTGTTGGATAGGGCTCCTTCGAGAGGTGTACGAGGCAAAATTTTCGTCATTGTCGACCCACGTGATGGTTTTCTTGGAGTTATTCCTCATATCCTAGAGTTTTTGGATAAGTATTTCTGACTTCCGGTTGGGTTGTCTTTAAAGGCAACAAGGAGACGTTCAGTTAAAGGTATCTTACCTTTGTTTTGTCATATTGTGACTTTTGGACTATTTTAGTTCATGGGAGTTTTGACGACTCATCCCATTTTGTCCATGTGAATACAGTAGTGTTAAATAGAGTGTTTTCATATAACGTCACGGCAGCCATATGGGTGTCCCAAAACAATGAAACGGCGGCCAAACTAATCCTTTGGCAGCTGAACTCTTTTCTTATGCAAACACTCTCTTTTGTTCCAATAAATTTGCATAGATGCTGGCGACGAGAGTGAAAACACTCTATTGACACACACTACGTCTGGGCCGCCTGTGCTCTCACCCACCTCGTGTTTTTATTTGAGTTGTTAGTGGTGCAATGCATTCTGGTAAAAAATGATGAAGAATTCATCCCTCTTAAATCCTGATTATGTTGCTGTAAATATATTAATCCTGTTCATAATCATACCTCTCCGTTGTTCTTGTGACAGGTATTATGCAAATTAAATTCAAGCGAAACAGAAAGGAAGTGATACCACTTATGGCAAGAAAAAATATTCTGTGTGGCTGGCTGTCCAGAAAACATGCAAAAATAAAATGAAAACTGAAGTCAATTTCCACTTTGCACTACTAACTCAGTTACCTAGCAACACCATACAACTAGTAATAGTTGACACTACAGCTGCTGCTGCTCTGTATATTGTCGGTCAATAGTATTCTTGCTCGTTGTGTAGCTCTTTGAAATATGCCGATTCATAATGAAGATTTTCACACATATTCGGCCATACAATGGGTGAGCTAAATACAGGAAATGCAAGGTTCCATGCACAGTTTCAGTTCGATTTACCCAGCTTTGATCAAAACATTCTCAGTTTCGAGATCAGTTTATTCTAAACCATGAGAAAAGATTTAATTAAAAGTTGGATTTTTCGTTATTTCTCTTTCACCTTTTACATTCAGTTCTTTTTATTTGCCGGAAAGTAAGCCTTAGAAATTAAAAGGATGTTTCATCAATTCTAGTCTTATTTTAAACTTTATAGCGGAAGGACATCTGTGAACTGGGAATGAGTCAGCACAGAATTTGATTGTCGGTGAATTTCTGTAATCGTCATTCACTCGTTTTGCTTGTTTGGGGCCGAGTCATATTCTTGTCAATGAGAGAGAAAGAGTGTCTGGCAAGGTTTCCAATCAACGATTTGTGAACTCCTGTCTGGCAAACTCTCCAAGTGTTTATATATACACAGTTATACGCACCTTATAACTTCATCTGCGCTTAACGAGTGTCTTTTGGTCCATACCTTTCAAAACAACTGTTCCACAGAATATGTCACTGATAACACCTAACCCAAAAGAGTATTGATCGAAGCATGACTGCACAATAAATGTTACAAAATCTACCTAAGCGGTCCCTTCAGGATTTTCTGTCTTTATGTCATCCTAACCATTTCGTACTTGCGGACGCAAACAATATTAACGTCATCATTACCAACTGATTCCTCGCGGCCCCTGTTTAAGCAAATCAACATGTTTTTTGGTATACTGACTGTATATTTCAATTGTAAGTACTTTCCCTGATATACGCACGAGTTCTTAGAGTGCCTTCTCAGGATTTTGCCCACGGGGACAGTAATGAGCCCTTAAGAGCTAGCCTCCCACACAGACGTTCTTAGGGGTTCGTCACATGTGAGGCACCCCAAAGAACGTCTGCGTGGGGGGCTACTTAAGAGCCCATGGCTGTAAATATCGAGAATCACTGGCCAGGCTAAAATAAATCGAAAATTCTGATAATTTGTCAGAAAAACCCCTTTGGGAAACTTTCTTCGAAAAAAAAAAACATTTTTAACTTTCAAGAATGTATAGTTTTCGAGGAAATGGGGAAAAACGAAAATAGCAGTTTTACCTAATTACTTTATGCAAAAATTAGAGTAAAAATGATCTACTTTATCGCGTCTTTACCGAGGCAAGATGTAAAGCTATAAAACAGAAATATCTTTTTTCAAAAGCATTCTATATTGACTTTTTATCTATGGTATGTTTTAAACCATAAACATGATTTTGAATTTTTTACAGTTTTTAAAAACTACCATCAAATGCACTTTTTAAATTGGGTAGAAAATGAGCAACTTCAGACGCGAAAAACTCACCCTGGTATGTGTGATACCTAAGCAAAATGTATAAATATATAGCCCCTTATCATGGCAGAATATAAAAATCCGGGTACTCCGGATTCTCCTCACATTACTCAGTCAGTAGCCTGCGAAAACAGTCATTTCTCCTTGCTCTTCGCCACTGAGAACATTTCGCGCGGAGGAATGTCTGCCACTCAGCAACAGAAATTGCATACTGATGATGTAAATCAATGTTAACATAATAAATCCGGTACTCATGGGGTTCCAAATGCAAATTTGTTCAATTTTACATCTCTCCTGGTCGATTTTGGTGAAGTGTAGTTTTCATCTGCAAATGAGCTCCAGCAAAACGCAAATGCTTCTTCTACAATGATAACCACATTGCACATATTTTTATTAAATTTAGGTAATTCAAATGTCAGGTAGTCATATTTTCTTTTGATTTTTATGTAGGAGTTTCCAAGGAAATAATGGAACTGATCAGCAACAATCAGTGCATTCAGAAAGGCCACAGCAAGAGGTATTAAGCAGATTAGCTGTTACGGGGGAGGGGGTAGTTGACATGCATTGGACAAGGGCGGATTTAGGGGTGGTCCCAGAAGGGGGCCCCAGCTCTCCCTTTTGTCTGGGAATTTCTTTCTTTTGTAAACATGTGTCCGATGGTACTTCCAGCTTTGTTACTTAAATATATTTTCTTTAATAACATTGATAATAAGAAGAGAATCCGTATTTGAAGCCTACGTTTTTAGTTGCAAATGACCAAAGCTCCCGGAATCTCAAAAATTTTCCCAGAGGAGCATGCACCCAAAACTCCTTAGAAAAGTGTGCCATTTGGAGTCCTTTTGGGTACTATCGCGCCCATATTGCCACTGTATACTAGATCTCTAGTCCCCCCCATCACAAAATCCTCCGTCTTCCCCTGTTGGCTGTCAGCTTATCCCACTGAGCTGTTAAGATAATATTAAGATGTAATTTAGGACCAAAAGGCATTTTCATTGATGTTTTATTTCATCAATCCTTTGACACATTTTTTTTATTTTATTGACTGTGTGATTTCATAGCAAGACAACAGTTTCTCCTCACTCCTTGCCACTAGGGATGTTGTGCAGGAAAGACATCTGAACCTCAACAACAGAAATTCCTGACTACTTCCACACAGTAACCAGTCTATCTGCAAAACCTTACACCTACTATCCACATTTTTCATGAGACATGCATGCATACAGTATTCTATAATTTCTTGATTGAGTTAGACCACATTTTTTTCTTTTAAACCAAAATGGACACATGTCCTGTCCAGAAAGAAACACTATTTTCAGTTCTGTTGTTGTCCTCGCTGGAGAATAATGTTTTAATGGTACTTCCTGCATGCTTCCACACACATGGTTTTAGTAGGATTTCCCATAATTCCAAGCTAGCCCACAAGGGCGTAAGAATGACAATAGGCAGAACATGGACAAAGATAGAAGAGACTGGCAAGTTGAGCGACAAGAAGGAAAAAAAAGGGTGGCATCATTGAAAATGCCACAACCTATAGATCCTTTAAACCTTAACCTACATTGGTATAGATTCAATTCAATTTAATCAATTCAATTCAATTCTTTATTCACACTATATAAGATATTTACATAAGTGTGCGTAGGTAGGAAAAAGAGTAGCTGACAAATAATAATTAACTAAAAGACATTAAGTTCATTTGTGTACGGTGTCCAAAGTAGCAAGAGCTTTCTTGTTGGACGCCGTCAAGTTGAAATAATTGGCAGCAATAAAGAGAGGAATAAAATCTCAAATAATATCAGTGATAGAACATATAAGCAAGGTCAGATTTGGTTGGTTAGAAGACAGGATTTCCATTCTTTCTTAAACTTATCATATGGCAGACACTTGAGACCAGGCGGTACAGTCCCCCAGATTTTTGGAGCGGAGAATTTAAAGGACGTCTTACCTAAGTTGGTGGATACTCTTGGCCTAAAATAGTTCAGATTACTGACAAATCTTGTATTATGATTGTGTATACGTGATGCTGGAGTCAGGACATCAAGGAAAATATCTGGAATGCTATCAGTCTCATTTCTCATTCTATGTATAAAGCAACATATTTTTAATTTATATATATTATCTAATTTAAGGATTGTTAGGAGTTTTAAATAGGGAGTAGCACTCTCTCTAGGATGTACAAAGAAGATGGTGCGGAGACATTTGTTATGCTTAATACGAAGACAATCTAATCTGGTTTTGCTGGAACTGCCCCAAGCAAGAATACCGTAACTCAGATAGGGATATATTAAAGCATAATAAATTTGTTTCAGTATATTCAGATCTATGTAATATCTTAGTTTTGAAAGGATTCCTAAATTTTTAGCTAATTTATTATTTACATGTTGTATCTGTGGTTGCCAATATGAGATGTTTATCTATATAAACTCCCAAGTACTTTATGTAATCTAGAGAACAGTTTTGGCTCTACTAAGTAGGTTCAAGATGCCTGTACCTCACTCTCCATAAGCTCAAAGTTCTTTAAATTTTTTCCCTATTACCACATCTTTGTCCGTGTTGGAAACTTAAAATACGCAACTACTGTAGACCTTTCTCTAGTGTTCTTTAGGTCATTAAAGAAAGAAATTATGGGTTCCTCCTTTTTGGAGAAGGAACCCTGTTTAAAGAGTATTATAATAGGAGCGTATACTATTTTTGACCGGATTTGGTTGTGGATAATGAAAGATTTTGCTTGGCGTACATCTGTTAAAACACTACTGCGTTTCGCCAGTAACATAAACAGTTTTAATTTTCATTCGTCTACAAAAGTCTTGTTGACACATTGAAACAACCACACAAGTTGATATTATCTTGCAGTTTTGATACGAAATCATTGATGTATGTAACATTTAAAACAGCAACGCTGGAATCAAACCTATATAATTTTATAGCAACAACTCCAAAATATCGCACACAGATTTTTAAAGCAAATTGAAACAGGACACTCCTGAATGTTATTTAGTTATTATTTGTTTATTTCCTCAAGGGTATTTTCAAGCGACCGTAAACGACAGGTCTCTACTAACAGTTGTGACTTTGTGCAGTATTTGTTTGTTTCTTTTTTCTTAGTAAATACTAGCTAGAATCAGGAACTGGAATAACCGGTTTATTGAACTATTTTTATCCCCTCAGTCTAGTTGCACTGTTTGTTGACAAACGAAAAGCAGACGCACCTTTATTTGAATTGCGTTTTGGCGCATAATGATTTCCAATTCAAACAGTCGTAAATATTCTTCGCTCTGATTGGCTTGCTCACAGACTAAGTTTTTGTAGAGACTGGATTGGATTACATGCACAATCTGATTGGTCAAAACAGGGACTAAGTTTGTGAAAAAATAATCTCAAATATATCTGGAGTCTCATTGGTCGATTCAGGGACTAAGATCCTAGAGATCACAAGTACAGTTTTCAATGGAGACGTACACTTTTAAATGGAATTGTGTTTATAATGGTCTTCTCCCTTTGTGAAATTGTAGGAGCCTGCATCACGTTTTGTGAATGTTGAACAGAGTGAGAATCACAATGAGGAGTTGCCTCTGGCTGTTGGTGCCCATAGCTACCAAGTAATTTCCCAACCAGAGGCTAGAGTTACGCTAACCCATGAACAGCCAATTGAGTTAGTGGTGGTGTTTAAGTATGATGGATGCCTTCAAGAGGTTATCGAACGCAGCCTACAGTCAGGGCGAGGAGAGCCAAGACACAGTCCTTCTGGCATACAGCCACAAAGTGAGCAGGCCAGTGAGGGGCTGGATTTGTCTCAGCTGGTTTTGTCATCAGCAGGGCTATCAATTGAGCACATTGATGATAATGGTTCCTCTGAGCAACACGGGAATTCAAACAGCCAACGGCTAAGTATTAACAGGTAAATATCACATAATGCAACCACGAGGGGGGCATAAGGGGGGTACGAATACCAAAAAAACAGCACAGAATTACGTACTAAACACAGCACAGAATAACATAAGAAAACCGCATTGAAATTACCTGAAAATTTTAAATACTGCAAACTGCTTAGTTTGGTAAAACCACAAGACTGCAACTTAAAATAAAAATTCTCGCAAAACTGCACCAAAAATGGAGCAAACCCGCATCACCACAAACCTTTACGCCCCCCTCAACCAACAGCCTAGCCTGGCTGCTTCATTATAATATTGCAGGGCAAGCAAATGCTCACTATTCTCTGCGCATCTACTTGTCTCAATGCAATTCAACTTGAAATCTTTCATCAATCAAATGGCCTCTGTTGAGTTACAAGGGTTGATTGTACATCAAGTAGATTCTCTTGCTTCATGCCTGATAAAATCCTGAACCAGTATGCACTATAACTGGAAGTACATAACAATGATATTTATTGTAAAAGTTTGTCAGAGGCTCCACTCTCCAGCTGTTGTTTGACCAAAGTGGAACTTTAACTTCAAGGTAACTGTTTTAGGTCATACAGACTGAATTACTGGAGAGAAAACTTATACATAAAACGTTTCTCAATATATTTTCAGGTTATGTTACACACCAGGGGAAATGTTACTTCCAGGCAGTACCTTTGATGGTAGTAGCTTCATTATTTTGCCTATGAGAAATTACTCTCAACACCATCAAGATGCTGTCAATGGAAGGATATGTTCATTTGAAGGTCCTCCCATTTACACAGGTCCTTATGGTTACAAGCTTCGCATATGCATGTTCCCCGTAGGCATTGATCACGGAGATAGCAGACACGCTGGCCTTTTTATTGGCATGATGCAGGGAAAATATGATAATATCCTAGAGTGGCCATTCATGGCAATAATCACTCTCACAATTTTGGATCAAGGAAGCAGTGCAGACTCCCGTAACCACATCAGTCGCACTTTTGTGACCAGTGGAAATCAAAGAGCTTTTCAAAAGCCCATTGCCACTGGGCAAAGCGACATGCTGTATGGGTACCCAGAGTTTGTACCTATTGAAATGGTTTGTAGCCCTCGGTACTCTAAAGATGATACAGTGTTTATCAAAATTGAGATTCGTCCATGTGTCATCCGCTGAACTTTTTTTTGCTCAAGGGAATAAAGAAGTTCAAAATTAGTTTTGCAAATAACGTCACCAAACAAAAGACACCTAGAAAAAATCAATAGTTCCGAATTTTTTCTTTTTGATATATATACATTGCTGTATTGGTATTGATATTTTTTCCTAGGTTTTATTGTATTTTTTAAGAACTTTTTAGTGCTAGTGCAGAAAATTTGCATGGTAAGTTTATTTGCAGGGACCAATATGGACTAAGTCTACAGTCCGCCCTTGTTTTATTCACAGCAGTTACAGTCACTCTTATTGTTACCCTACAATGGGCAACATACCCTACAAACGACCACTAACCTTGGTCCCCAAGCAGGCCCACCTGTATACAGGAGTGAAGATAGGATTTTTCAAGTGGTATGCTCAGAATTCCAAATCAACCCAAGCTGGTCTCCCAAATTGTTTCCATGTGGGTGACTTTTATAAATTTCTGTTTTCTTGATGCTTAACCTTTGATAAGGTAATCATCTCTCTTGGTCTTGCGTTACAGCTTTTACCATTTTTCATTTGACTCTTATTTACCTTCTGTTCACTCGTTTAGCTTTTTTCCTTTTTTTTTTTTTTTATATAAAGGAAATAAAGGGAGATGTAAAGAATCAACCATAAGAGGACACAGAAAAAAAATCTGAGCCCCAGATGGGATTCAAACCCACGACCCTCCGTGTTCTAGATCGGATGCTCTAACCTCTGAGCTACTGAGGACTCATTGGCGAGCAAGGGTCGTTTTTGCGGGTTGAACTACTGAACCGCATCTCACAGTCACACAGTCCATCACAAGCAACACATTAAGGCTTAACTGTATCACACAGTCACACTAATAGTAAGAAATGTCTCACCCATGAAGGAGCCTCCAACCAACCAACCTATGCCACTGATATTAATATTGTAAAGGAAATAAAGGGAGATGCAAAGAATCAACCATAAAAGGACACAGAAAAAATCTGAGCCCCAGATGGGATTCGAACCCACGACCCTCTGTTTTGTAGATTATCTTTTTTTCGTTTTTATTTATCTTTGATATTCTTAGGGTCTCATAGGAGTACAGGCATGGCCTAATCCACATTAATTTTATACAATATTGCATTTAGATACAAGTTGTTAATAGATATTAGGTAATTGTCAAAGTTGACATCATTATTTGTGTGAAAGTAAGTTTAGTTAACTTAATGTTAAAATAGGAAATAAATCTATAAATTAATAGTACCTGAGTTTGAATAAAAAATTTTAGTTTTTGCCCAGGGCTATCGGACATGCCTTTCTTTGCACACTGATTATGAAGACTAATACCATACTGTCATGTCATTTACAAAGTCAAGGTGATTTTAAAATTTGTATGGTGATTTCATGGTGGTGATCTCTTCCATTCTCTCCTTGTCAACTTTGTTTAACAGCTGAGGCAACTCAATGATGCAGCCACGATCTTCCCATTGATTGCAATAATCTAGAATGTATCGTATGCACTCAGTACTCTCTGCATCTTCATAGTATGTAGGAAAATGGCAGGGACTCTGTTTGTTTAGTCCATCGAAATTGCAAGGCTCAGTCTGAAATCGTGTGAAAAAATATGCAAAAATTTAGACCTTCTGATGGCGTATGAAGAGGAAATTATACAAGGATTTCCAGTAGGTCTCATTAATTTAGTAGAAAGCCTTATTGTACATGTTCAGTCAATCACGACCAAAACCTGTTTTGTGTCAAGTTTATCTGCCAAGTTTTGTGATAATTTTTTAAATACATATGAATTATGGCGATAAAGATAATGAATTTCTAAAAACAAATGCTTGAAATAGATTCATTCATGATTCTTTAATAAAAACCACTTCACCCCATTTCAAGGCTCTGCTCCACGAAAAACTAAAGGGAGTCCAGTGCTAAAAAACCTGTGAACTCCAGGGTGTCAGCTTATGATTTCTATGAAAAAAAAAACTAAGATTTTCTAGTAGTCTGGCAGCAAATGTTAGGTGCCAGGGGCCAGGGAGCACAGAGGCACAGGAAAAAACCCCACAGGCATAGAGGAAATACAGTATTACCTCAGTAAAATCTGGGCCATTGTGGAAAAACTGATATTCCTCATCACTCATCTTTCCAGTCTCAAAGGTAAAATCACTCATCCTCATGTCTTGATGTGGGCAAAATAGTGATGGCACATTGGTGCCTAAGAATCTCTCTTCATATCTTCTCAGTAGGCTTTTTATTGCTTTTTGAATGCTTGAAAATTGGTTATCTTCTAATTTTTATGTTGTTCCACTTTCTAGATACCTTCAATCTGATGTACTTACATGGTATTGCACTTTTTTACATTATTTGGTTAAGATTTCTATTCTGGACATTTGGTTTTTGTTTTACTAACTAGGAAGTATATTTATTAGGGTATGTATTTAAATACTACACCAAGCATTTTAAAAAGAAAAATGTTGTATCCACCACCCTCCAAAAAAAATTTGTCCCAGCTCTCCTTCACAACACTCTATAAAGTGGCTACTTGGCCATCCAATCTGTCCATTGGGGAGAGGTTTGACCATATTCACTTTTCTGGACTACAGCACTTGGTGACATTTTGATTTTGATTTTCCCAATCACGCCATGGGCAAAAAATTTGCAAACATGTTCAGACTTACCCCTTGGTTTAAATGATGATTGGACAACAGAACTTGTTTGCATTTTTGAAGGCCACAAAAACTGGACAAACAAGGTAGGATCACTTGGTAATGTGAGAAGCTGCCACCACATTTGAGGAATATACAACATGTCGCCTTTTTGAAGGTTAACAGTGAAGTGGGGAATGCCTTGTGATGATAACCTTGACTGAATCTCTGAAACAAAATGCAGTGTTTGGAAAGATAAAATGTTTGATTTCAAATAATATTATTAAACACATCAATCAAATCATTTGGATCTATCTGGTGATCATGTTTGACTGAAGTCCAGGCTTGACTGAGAGTTATTTTCAGCTCTGCAGAAAAACAAAACAGGGGAATGAAGCAGGTAAGTCGAGAGGATATAGAGTTGGGACAAGTCTTTCTGTGGTCATTACTAGAATTAGCTATCTAATATGACGTCCCTTAAATTAGAAAAAGATACATTTTTTAAGATATTGCAATTCTATACACAATTCTCAGGGCTTTGGTCTAGCAGGGCCCAGTGGCCCCTGCTGCCCAAATTTGTCCTCTGGTACCCTGCGAGCAGAGGTTCCTCTCTTGCATGGCTTTTAACACAAATGTTTACAACGTCAACTTCATCTCTTGACTTTGTAAATGTTAAAAGTCATGCAAGAGACAAACCTCTGCTAGCAGGGTAGTTCTCTGGTGACTTGAAAATCTTAGTTTTTTCATACAAATCATATGCAATATGCAGCCTAGATTTTACAGGTTCAGAGCACTGGGTTCCCTTTAATTTTTCTTAAAGCATTAGCTTGAATGCTATAAACAAAGAAAGAAAGAAATAATTTCAATACCTTCCTTTGATCTGGAAATTAAGAACAATTGATTTTCATCATCAGGGAGTTTCTCTGAATATAAAGAAGAAACCAGAGTAACTTGAACACTTCCATTCAAAACTGTAAGCATCTGCTCATCTGAATGGAAATATAACGGTGTAGTATCCTCCCTTTGGTATTGTCGCAACCAGTAAGAAACTTTCATCTAATTCATAAACTGGTGACATCTCAAACAGAGAGGAGCAATAATGTCATTAAGCATCTGCAATGATGGTGGATTAAACATCATCAAGTCTTCTTGTTGAGACCTCCACAAAAAATCTTTGATCATGACATGCATTTTTAAACCATATGGTCTTTTAATCGGCTCACTAGCTGAGTACGTTCACTTACTGCGTGCATCAAGTACAGTTCTGTCCACACCTATATAGAAATTCAAATTAAGAAATACAAATGCTTTATTGACCAAGGATGAGGTCCAGATCGCTAGGTTTTTTATTAATTTTTAAGGACCAAGATGAAATTAAGGCCAATGAAAAGGCCAATATCCAGCCATCTTGACCATAAAAAACAAGCTTGGCCGATAAAAGATTTATTACATGGCCAAAAAGAGACTTTTTTCTTGCAGAACCAACACAGGGAATCCTTAGCAGGCAAGATGTGCTTTGGTAGCGAACCCGAACACAGGATTCGCTTCGTCTTGCCTGCTCATGGAACCAGCCATATGATAAAATATCAGATAAGAAGTTATTCAACTAAAATTAAACCAGGAAGTGGGTAAAACCACCCTCTTGTGACTGGCTGACTAATCTGCTGATGGTCGGGGAATAGAGATTGCTATGATTCTCAAGTCATGTCATAAACATAAAATTTACAAAAGAAAGTACATAGAGTTAAGAAATTAAAGAAACTTATAGCTTATGCCGTCATATACCTCGCTCGCTGGCCAGTTACTTGCTGCCTTTCTAATAACGATCGGTTTGTGTTTATAGCCATGAACTTGTAATAGAAATCTTCAGGTGAAATCATGTATGGAGTTTCCTCAACTGAACTGTGTTCTTCAAAAGGCTTTTTGCACTTCGTTATCGATTCATTACAGTCCCCCTTTCTTGCAAATATCTTCATTGCTTCCGGCACAAGTTCCAAACAAAATCAAAGCCAGGTGAAGATATCGATTAAGTGCCATTTGAGGCTGCCGGAAATCTGCGCTTTGGACCCGTAACACCACGTACTAGCATGGAAGTAATGCTTCATCGTATCGAGACTGAACAGAGGCAATGTAAAAAATTCTACCACTTAAAATGAGGGTGTTAATTGTCAAAAGCAGCGAGAATAGAGAACATCTGAGATCACGCGTCTTTGCAAAGATAACATAACGCCTGGGCAACAAAACCTAATTAACACGAAGTATTGCTTAAGCAATGAGTATTTCCGCTGACTTAACGAATTGTCGCCCAACTAACAGGTCTAACAGGGTGGGTAGAAAAAGAAATACCTAAGACCTAAGAGTAGACGAAAATGTGTACGTGTGATTTGACGGGTTTCTCCATTTTACCTCCTTTTGCTAACTGTCGTCTTACTGGGTTGATTCACAATTTTTCACAGAAAAACTTAGTGTTTGGTTTTCACTGTAACATTGACTGCAGCAGCCCTTGTGAAGAAAATAAGTTTGAATACAAACATTGGAAAGTTAATTTACTAGTAATCTCTCTGAGTGCACGATTAATTAGCCCAATGGCATCTTTATGAATCTACTGTATTTAAGTGTAAACGATTTCTTCGCTTCTTATCTGACCCAGATCGACTTTGTTGTTCGCCATTTTGAAAATCAATAACCGCAAGCCCAGCCTCGTTCCCAGTCGTCCTCGGTGATTTCGGATGTGACGTCACCTGTCAAGCTTGTCGGGAAAGTCCGCCGAGCCGAGGTAGCGTTGCATAGGCTTTTGTACATAATGCTAGCATTTTTTCGAGCATTTTAGTGAGGCAAAAGCATTAAGCATTATTCAAGTATTTTAGTGGCATTTTCCCCGGAAAATTAATTTTTCCGAAAAAATAAAATAGCAACAACAACAACAACAATTTATTAAGGTATTTCCATATCTATACATGGCATTACCTATCTAATATTTATGAATAAAGTACAAATATATCATTTATAAATATATAGCAAAATAAAAAGATTATATTCTTTTCTGAAATAACATATCATGTCTGTAACGCATACATTCAAAAACAAAAGCAGCAATTGATCTACAAACAGAGGGATCTATACTATTAAAGAGAAATAAAAGTTTTGAAGTCACATCTAAGTCCTTGAAAAGTGTATATCTATCAGATATTTCACTGAAGAATTTTAAACGTAAATTGTCATAAAGTTTGCAGAAGAATAGAAAATGAAGTTCATTTTCAACTTCATTTGTCTGACATAGATAACATATTCTTAAATTTTCGGGAGTTTTAGGTACTGTGTGTCTGCCTGTTTCAATATGTAATCGATGATTTCCTAGTCGAAATTTATTGAGTGCTGTTTTTTGAAGTGGGTTTTTAATCATATTTAAGAATCCTGCTTTTTTATTATCGTTCTTAAAGGTAGTATAAAAATTCAATTTTCTATTTGTTTTAAGGAGGGTAAGTTGATGCTCAGTTCAGTGCCGTAGCCAGACCAAACGGCCAACCGAGGCAGGCGGGGGTTGCTAGGGGGGCTCGGGGGCATGCCCCCCCCCCCGAAATTTTGAACTTTAGTCTCTCGGAAATGCGATTTGCAGCGTTTTCTGGGCGTTTCGGTAACTTTTTTTCGAGTTAATTTAAGTGGAATTTAAAAAGCAATAATCAGAAACAAGCTACATAATCTGGGTGACCGTTAACCTCGCCAATGGTTTTGATCAGTATTTGTTCAAAAAAAATTTGAGTTAACGTACGTAGCCCCTTGAGATCGATGATATGGTAATTTTTTTATAGTATATTGACTGAATTGCTGAATTCTTTGTAATATCATGATGCGTTAAAAATATCCGATGATCGCTTATGTAAAATAAAAATGATCGGCGAAATTCGTCAAAATTTTACCGAGGCGAGTGCCTCGGTTGGCCTCATACTAGCTACGGCGCTGCAGTTAGAGCATTATTGATGTTTTGCTTGATGTAAGAGGTGAAGACTTTTTCGTTGTTTTCATTCAATGTTATGGCGGTTGCGTTGTACTTGCTACATATAGTTTTTATTTTCTGCATCAAACCTGGCTGGTTGTTATCGGCCATTTCCTGGGAGAGTTGTAGACATTGTTTTGCTATATTTTTATCTGGCATATTTTGTAAATGAATCCAAAATTTAATAATTGAGGTATCTATAGTTAATTTCAGCGGTAATCTACCGAGTTCATTTCTAGCAGCGACGTTTGGACATTGTTTATTTACGCCTAAGGACTGTTTGCAAAAATATATATGCGTTTTTTCAATTATGTCTTTTTCCCAGGCGTTAAAATCATCTTTAGTATATATGCCCCAGATTTCAGATCCATATAAAAGAATGGGGAGGAAAAGCGAATTAATGAGTTTATTGGTTATGTCAATTGGTAGTTTCAAGAAATCAAGGTAGCGTCGTATCGCAAAAAACGATCGTCGTGTTTTTTCTTTTAAGTTTATTTTACACACATTGAAGTTCCCATTTGTAGCTAAATTGATTCCGAGGTATGTATAATTGTTAACAATTTCTATTTTGTCATTGTTTATCTGAAAACAATATTTGTTAAGGACTGATTTTCTACATTAGAAATTAACTTTTTTCAGGAGCCCATGCCCCACGAGCTCCTGCGTTTTAAAAAAAAATGAAGACTAAAACTCAAAATTCACAAAAAACCCAATACAGCCGTTTTTTTGGCTGTATTTTTGAACTTGTGCACGTTGTCGTTGTTACTTGCAACACTTGCACGTTTTTGTGAGTGTAAACTTTGAAATTAATTTTTAAAAAAACCGTTTGTATAATGAGCATTATCCGAGCATTTTAGTGACTTTTTTGGGGGAGACCGAGCATTTTAGTGGGAAAAATGGAGCATTAAGGTGGAGCATTTCAGTGGGGAAGCAAAAGCATAATGTACAAAAGCCTAGCAAGTGCAGTTGTGTCCTCCGGTCAGCACTCGTTATCATGCGTCGAAAGGCCCTCTTATCTTCGGTCGGATTTCGTAAACGTATGACGTCACGCTCGCTTCGTGGATCCTCCTGTGAGTCATGTACTGAGCTTTGCTTCGATCTTCTGATGATCTGATGTTTGTTTCGAGGTCTTGCTTTTTCGATCATCCCTCGACTGATTCATCCAAGAAGATGCCACTGCATCTGTTTGGAGAGGATGTTTTAATATTTCGCCTCGACCGAGCCTCTTAGCTCATCAACAAGGTCCTTCCAGCGGATGTTGCTGAGTAACATCCCTTGAATGGCCCCGGATCGAATGGCATTCATGAAGAATTACACGAACAAGAAAATAAAACTCAAATGAACCGCTGCCTAACTTAACAACTTTTTCAAATATTGGCGGGAATAAAGAAATAGAAAAAAACCACGTGCGTATTAATTGTCTGTCTCTGTCGAATAATAATGAATGCTTGCAGGAACAACAACAACAACTTTATTTGTACCCAGCTATACCCTACATTGACTTACATGATACAAAAAAAATTAGATAAAATAATATATATAGAGTCAGCACAGGCTGCCATAATAACCATTGAGGGCTAAAAAGATGGGGCAGCCTCACTTAGGTTATTAATAGATTATTATAATAAAGGGTCAGGTACCGCACACCACACACAGCTACACAAAACATCCACACAAAAAAAACGAGTAGAAAAAGAAAGACAGCAAAAGAAAGCTACCGGTATTAAACAACGGAAAGCCATTCTTGCACTAAGTTGTCTGATAATTTATATTTTGTTTCATCCGCTGAAGAAGCACAAAGCTAATCCAAGATTTTGAGGCTCGAAATAACCTAAATTTTTCCCTCTACAAGGACTAAAAGGCAAGCAAAGGCTTTGGAGACACAGGTGAGTAGTAGCGATATTATTACACAGTGGCAGATCCAGACCTTCAGATAAGGGGAGGGGGGGCGCGCAGTCATCCAGACCCTGAGATAACAGGGGGAGGACGGTCTTCCAAAAAAATTTTTCGGCCCTTTGGGCGCAGCCTCAGTTTGGTCTAAAAAAAAGAGGGGGCTCCGGGC